TTAGGTGATCACAGCACCAAAAAGTGTTTTATTCTATTTTTTGAATTGTGTTTATGCTTGACACCATCAATTAATTGGCAGTATAATAAATGGGCCTACGTTGGCCCTATATAAATATCCCATCTTTTAAACACCTAAACAAAATAACACTTGTGTGTATTACAAACATTGTGCCAATGTTGAGCCAACATACTACTACCAACTTGATAGGACACGTTCTTTAAAGGTGTATTAGAAACAATGGGCCAACGTTGGACCAACATAATACTATCAACTTGATAAGACATTTTCTTTAAGGGTGTATTAGAAACATCGGGCCAACGTTGGGCCAACATACTACTTGAACTTGATAAGGCACTTTCTTAAAGGGTGTATTACAAACAATGGGCCAACGTTGGGCCAACATAATACTACCAACTTGATACGACATTTTCTTTAAGGGTGTATTACTAACAATGGGCCAACGTTGGGCCAACATATTACTACCAACTTGATAAGACACATTCTTTAAGGGTGTATTACAAACTTCGGGCCAATGTTGGGCCAACATACTACTACCAACTTGTAAATACACTTTTCTTTAAGGGTGTATTATAAACATTGGTCCAACGTTGGACCAACACCAGGATCCTTCCTTCCTTGGGAACTAAACTGAATGGAAGTTGCTTACGTTGGACCAACGTTGGACCAACATAGGAATTTTGTCATGGTCAAGAAGGTTGACTTGGTAACATTGGTCCAATGTTGGCCCAACGTTGTTCCCCCAACGCCAACCATACAACCTTTTACATATGTTGGCCCAACATAGTCATGCTATCTGGGGAGCAAAGGTCCCTTAGGATACCAAGTAATTTTATTATGACAGTAGATATCATTAACATAGTTCGCATTAATTTGAAGATTTGATAAACAAAATAGCAATTTTATGACAAAATGTAATGTCATTGAATTAACTTAATCTATAAACAAGTCTTTCATACCTCTTTTATGAGAAATCCTTCATGCATCACAAACACTGCGACTACAGTGATTCAAAACTTTGTGTATTAACTGCCAATGCACATGAAAAATTTATCAGCTGAATGGCAACGGTCCAAGCAGCTATAACCGTGTATAGATCTTCCATTTAAAGTGCAATATTATTCAATTTCAAAATATATTCATATATCAAAGATAAACTAGTACCGTGTAGTACTGAGCAGTTTAATTAATGCATATTACACTTCCGAAGTTTTCGATATACTTTTTAAGAATCGATCTTAAAATCAATTCATGCTGTGTATCTCTAAAAATTATAAAAAAAAAAAAAAAAAAAAAAAGAAAATATTTATCTCCCTGATCAATTCACGAAAACAAGCATATATCCAACTTAACTTAAGGTAAGTCACCGTCTTATTTACATAAAATAGTTTGAATAATATTAATCATTGAACAAATCTTGCAAATTAATGCGCGTTTATTATTGTGTGACCTTTTTGCACTAAAAAATAACATATTTGGGGTATTGAAAAACTAAATAGGCAATAAAACATTTTCTTATATCAAGCTTTTTAGGAGTTAAGTGCTGATCAGTCACAAGTATCGAGTAGTTTAAAATAATGAAAGAAAAAGTTGGGGTCAGTGATGTTAATTTTGAAATATTGGTCAAAATATGTGATTTTCAGGCAAAAAATGGTGTAAATTTTATCTTGACTTCTTTAATATATCTTCATTTCTTGGCAAAGTTAATTGAGGGAAGGTGTAAAATTTGTTCTAAAAATATAAATTAACACCTATATTAAATATTCCTGCAAAATCATAACGGAAAATATTCTCCGAGTAAAAGTATGTGAGGCTAAAGTTTCAAGACATTAAAGAACAAGGTTCACTTTTGCCTTATTTGGCCCTGTGAATTTCTGAAAAACTGAAACTGCATAGTTTTACTTAGCAATGCATTGAATATCACTTAGATCTTTGATGACTGCGTATCTATCAAAAATGACGTCATTTTCTGGCTAGTCAATGCATTATGACGTCACGAAATGCGTCAATTTCCTCATATTGTGAAAAAAGTCTATAAAACAGCCAATTTTTAAAGCTATTTTTTGATATTTAATATGGAGCGCAACCTCTGATCTAAAATATGCAACTTGTAAATGATAGAACTGTTTCTGAGGATTAATGGACATGTTTTATTTTTTAGATCAGAGAGTGCGCTAATATAATTTTTCTTCAATGAAAGTACTCAATTATACCTGTTTGTCTAAAAATTCAAGAACATTCCAATTTCATAAAGCCAGTTCTTCAAGACCCAGACTTTTTGGAGAATTTTTTTTAATAGGATATGAAAGCACCAAGTCTCTATTTTATTTTAATGCTTCAAATAGAAAATCAAGTGTTGATTAATTAATTGGTATATCTACAGGGCCATTTTATGCATAAAATGAACCGACTTCTTTAATAAATGTGCAGATTTGCAGAAATTTCTGCTGAATATCCTTCCAACACAAGAAATAGTCCCTCATAAATCTTGCTTCTTTGTAGATTTTTAAGTAGTTTTTTCAATGAATGTTAAAAAAATTACATTGTTGAACATAAATATTTCATAAAAATTGAATTTTAATAAATATTTTTTAAGTAAGAGGTTCTGCGTGAACTTTTCTAAAAAGCTGACGAGTGACTTACCTTAAGAACAAACTACGCAAAACAGGTATTCTTATTCAAAGAGAAGGCTATGTTAGAGGTGAGAGCCAGTAAGTGAATCACATATTACCTTATTCACTCTACAATAATACATGCTGAAAGATATAAAAAGTATGACAGGCACCTTAATGAAGAAACGAAAGTACCTAATCTTCAATGGCTAACAAACACCGTGAGACGTTTCATTAGAACCTATTTTACTTAACGCTGCTTCAAGTAATCCAAATGAGATCGAGTGTTCCCTCTCAAAGGCACTCATATGCTTAAGTTTTAAGGCAGATCGCAGATATTTATGCATAGAGAAGGACATAGTCCCATTACAGGATGCAGTAGATATGTTCTATCAAATCAATAACCTATTTTTAGACTGATAAAAATTTATCAACAGTGAAGGAGAACTTCAGAAGTACTGTGAAATGTGAATCGTATTTCTGCCAGCTCTTCATAGGCAAACTAAAGTTTTAAACTTGTTCTTTTCATTGATAATAACATTCCAGTACTTATAACAGTATACTTACTTACCTTACTTACTGAGGCCTCTTCATATCAGATGGCACATATTAAGGCAGCCACACAGTCCCTACACCCAGTGAGTCCTATCTATTGCATTTGTTTCTATTGCCTTCCATGTCATCCCTAACTCTGTCAGCTCTTTTTCTGCTGTTCCTGAGGCCATGTTGTTTTGGCCTGTCCCTTGTTATCTTGCCATTAGCCGTCCAAAATATACTCTCCCTGGTGATGTTGTGATGGTCTTTTCTGATCACATGGCCGATCCTATTCACTTTCTTCGTACAATTTCTTCCACAATGTCTTCTTGTTCAGACATCGTCTGAGGTTATTGTTGGACACCATTTTTGGCCATCTGATCTTAAATAGGCATCTATATTCTCAAACACTCCCACTTTCCTTGCGAGGTCTTTCCCAAGCTTCCAGCATTCTGATCCATATAGTAATACTGATTTTACATTACTATATATTGAAGATTTTGAGCTTTGTCCTAATGTTCATATAGGAGGAGGTGCAAATTGGTTAATAATTTAATAATTAGTCCATTTTCCCACTCTGTTGGTACCATGTTGGTTCTTCAAATGTCTTGGAAATATATAACCTTTGATGTTGCTTCAATGTCTACTTTTAGTAATTCTGCTGGGATGTCTTCTACTTCTGTAGCTTTGTTGTCTTTCATCTTTCTGATGGCCTTCTGTATTTCTCCTACACTCATTTCCCCCACACTGATGTCAAGTTCTGCTATGTTGTTGTTATATATCGACTTCGATATATGGTGGATGAATTGCGTTTCCACTATTCAGAACTGATCTAAAATGTTCTGCCCATCTTTCCCATGTTTCCGTGCTGTCACTGTCCATGAAAAGGATGGGGCCATACTGATCTCTCACAACAATTGAGTTGTTGGTTTTGCTAGACATCAGTTTGGTGATCTTATAGTATTAGATTTCTTCGAATGGAGGAGTCTCGGGAAACAGTCGACCTGTTGGACCGGAGTGCAAACTGTTGCCCGCTGCCTAGTGGGCAACAGCTTACACTTTGATCCAACAGGTCGACTGTTTCCCTCTACTCCAGTCAACAACTGTATAAGGTTTAATAGTCAATTGTCTTTGCAGCTCATATTATAATATTATACAGAAGTTATTGATTCCAACTTCAAAATCGCCTTTTCCAAAAAGTTGGCAATTCTAACTTTTACTTTTAGAATTCTTTGCAGTTTTTTTTACATAAATCATGCATATAAAGTATATATAGGCATTGCAATGATATCATCCATGGAATCGAAATTTTGCAATTCAGTCAAACTTCTAAGCATGTGCGTCGGAGCCAGGGGTAGGGTTGGGTTAACGTTGGGGGCTCACCCCCCCCCCTCCCCCCCATTTGTTGCAAATAAAGACACAATGAAGACATTAAACAAGTTAAGAATTGTTACTTACCTTTTTTGCTGATTTACCCCCCTCCCCACCCCCTTCAATTTGCTTTAATAGACGCCTAGATGCAAAGTTGTATTCTAAGGTTAAAAATTTTGATGTGATGATCATGATGATTTCATAAAATTTTATCATTTTGATTTTATTAGTGTATCATTTTTATTTGTTTGAAGCATTTTAAATCAATTTTATGTGAAAGAAGGCTGAAATCGGCCTGAAAACAAGTATTTTTACTCATTAACAGTAACTTGACTAATATGTATTACTGTTTCATAATCCGACATATCTAAGGAACGAGTTGTTGAAAGATTTACCACTTCCGCGTGGAGGCTCCGGAAAAAAAATAATTTTTTAACTGTACAAGTAATTTGTTAAGGACATAATTTAAATTAAGGGAAAACAACACGCGTAATGAGATATTTGATCTGCATCTTGCTTTCGTATTTTCAGTAACGATGCATTTTCTTCAATGGCCTCCAGACATCTAGTTTAAGGTAACATTGCCAATGTTCAGATGTTCAGATGTTGTTACAGTTGACCTGCATTTTACATGTAGCCAGTTTGCATGATTAGGAATAGATTTTGATCATGACGATATATGCAGATGTTTTAGCGGAAGCTTTTTGAATATTTGTTTCCTGTTAAGTTTTAAACGACACTTTTCAAACTACAGAAATCCGGTATTCATTCAAAGGGAGGAAAATAACACGTGGTTAGATACAGATCATGTATTGATACAATTTTTCTAATAAGCTGAATTCACACTTTTCAAATGTTATGCGCCTATGCCCCTTGGCTGCCATCTCTTGTTAAAAACCATCATCACAGAAGTCTTTGTAGTTCTCTAATTTGTAACTTAGAATTTTAACTGGGAAAATGGGGTAGGAGTGCAGCTACTGAACATGCTGAAACATCAAAAGGAAAAAAATAAATAAACACAATGGATATCATAGCACAATCTAATGAATTGTAGCAAAATTGACACACATTATCATTGGACAATTTCATTTTTTTTATTTTTACATCGGGTTGTCCAGACACATTTAAAACATGTATTTGTATGTACATGATGTAAACACATTCAAAATGCTAAAACATCAGAGCTGTGGAAAACTGCTGGTCATGCCAGCAAGACCGGCAAGAAATGTCTGTGACCGGTAAAAATGCTATCATGTCGTGTGACCACCTCTTTCAAAAAGGTTTTTGATTTTCCATTTTGATTTAGGCCTATCATTGGCACACTTCCCAGCTTAGTTATCGTACCTTATAAACGATTGCGCAATACTTTTTCTTTGCACGAGATCAAGGATATAGGAAATGAAAGCGAAACCAGCATTGTCTCGCATGACTTTTTAATTTACAAATGGCACAGAATTAGGTAAAAAAAAATTAAAAAAGACTGAGATAAGACAGGCTAAAAAGCTGGGTATGTGAAACATTTTGACAGAAAAAATTCAAACACAGTTGAGTAAAGTGGTAAACCTTTCGTATTTCCGTCGTTCCGACCGTCCCAGATTTCTTTTTTTTCATTGATCATGTTCATGATGTTGGTATTTTTATTATCGATGCACAGAGTTTCTTAGACTCATTTTCGAGGCAAAATATAATTTCCAAATGCATTAATGTTTTAAAAAAAATTACGTGTACTATGCAAAATTATCATTCATTGTTACCTGCTAAAAAGTGGTGAAATCTGGTATTGTAATAAATGCAAAAAACGAAAACAGAGGAGGATGGACCTGGAAATGGAGACATTTTAAATTGTTTTATTAAGTAAAGTGTACTTAAGAAAATAAATATAATGCTTTTCTTTTTAATTTTGCAACTTACTATTTCGGACCGGCAAAAATCACTTCGGACCGGCAAATTTTGTCTTCTTGCCGGTCCGAATGACTGGCTATCTGAAAAGTTATCCACAGCTCTGAAACATTGATCTGGAATTTGACCTTGAATGATTTTAATTTTTACGAACACACTCAATTCGTAAACATTTAATGCGTGAAAAATTAAATCACCCTATTTCTACTGAAATTTGTAAAAATTTACAGCAGTAAAAATTACCCATTATACAGTAGTACAAAGACAGTATATGTGGATAGATTATATACATCTTTTAAATATTGCATTAACTTCTAGAGTAAGACATTTTAACCCCAATTTTTTTTCTTCAAAGATACAGCTGTAATAAAAAAAAAATACTATATAGGCCAGATAAAATTAATCTTTAGATTCTCATCCCCGCCCGCCCCTCTCAAAATGTCCCGCCCCGTTGTTTTTTATTTTGATTTTTGGTATTTTCATGTATTGTTATTCAGCAAAAATTTAGGTCAAAGTTTAAGAGTTATCTATATTAAAAGTCGCGTGTCGCTATTTATAGCAAAAGAGCCATGTGAAGAATATAAAATCGGCAATAAAAGCAGTTTAAATATTGAAGGAAAAAATTTGTCAGTATAGAAAAGACAGAGAAGAATAAATGAGCATAAACACATCTAAATACTGTAACCACCGCTGGCATGAGCAATTTTTAATGATATTTTCACTAAATAAAATAGAGGAAGAAAATGACACCTGGTCAAGTTTTAACGATCTCCAGTTGTGTGTGATTTTACTTTAAAGAAAAAAAATAATAAAACATCGTTGGCAGACTTTTGAGAATGTGAAGTGCTAAGGAAATGACTTATGTTAACTCTTAAAACTGTTGCAACTTAGGTTTTTCAGTAAAATATTTTATTAGAATATTTTATGGATTTTGCAAATATGATATTTTAATGTCAAATATGTCAAGTCTCAAGATCGATCAAATTTTGAGGAAGGTGGAAATCTGTAATATTTTAAACAAAAAAGAGGGTTTTGTTGGTAAAACTAAAAGGTATTTGGGGAAAGGTGGATGAGAAGTCATGCATACACAATTTATTGGTATCCCCACTGGGTGTGCCGTATATGTGTACTTGATAATTTGTTAATTAATTAACTATGAATTTAATTATTTAAAAGCGAGAATTTTCTTTAAATATTTAAAAGAATATGAAAAGAAAATCTATTCATTTTGCCATTGACGTAATGAAAAAAATGTGTACGAAGAGTTCATGTTTTGTTGATACTTATACAATTTAACAATTATAAAAAATAAAAAATAAAATCCGCCCACCCGTCCCGATTTTTTAGCAAATTAGGATGAGAATCTAAAGATTAATTTTATGGCCATACTGGCAAAATCCAAGCAAATAAATGAACAGTCTTAAAATAATTCTATTGTTTGTTTAAAACATGAATCTTCTTTTTTCTTTTTCAGTTAATTCTAAGTGAACTACTTTCGAGGAGAGGATAAGTGTAAAAGAAACTTGAGATCGAAATCTGTGCCGAGTCACAATGTTAAAGCTAATAAACATACCAACTCTAGCTAGTTTACAAGGGAGAGCAGTATGCCCCAAACATTTCATCAGAGCAGTTACAAATTTCCATTGGCATAGCAATACAAATGTCAGATTCCAGGAAAATAAATTAAGGAATAGACAATCACAGTGTGTTGATTGCAAACCTTTTGTTTTATCCAATGCTGTGGATCAGTGCAGGACACTTCATGAAAAAAGAACACATTTAGCAGATAAGGTTTTACCCACAGACAACATTCACTGGAGGCAGGTCTCAAGTTTTCATCAACTGAATTCATTTACACTTGGTACTTATAAAATTTCAGTGCTGAACACTTATTGCTTAAATGATAGTAGAATTATCCAGAGAAGGCATTTCAAGCTCTCCCCACGAGATATACTAGAGGCTTCTCCTTCAGTTTTACAACCTTATATGAGATTGATCCGATTTGACAAACCAATTGGTAAGCAAAACATTGGCTATATCAGGTTCATTTAAAGGCTATATTCTAATAAATGAGATTTTATGCTATAATGAATGTTATCTTCATTTCCTGTTAAAAATATTTAAAATAAAAAGTTATAAACATAAAATGATTGTTTATTTTTTTCTGAAATATATTTCAACCCTCGTGTTATTTTTTTAGTCATGAATTTGAAACGTAATATTAATCATGCAGCATGCTTATCGATGCTTATTTATTTTCCGTTCCTTGTGTTTTTGGGATTACAGTTTCAGTTGTTATCACAGGTACCTGGTTATTATTTTGGCCCTGTACTTGGAGTATCGCCCTGGCCACAGCTCCTGGCAGCCTGCCAAGCCTGTGGCTTCTAGGACTGTTTGGCGCCGGGTCATTTTTCATGAGAGGGGCGGGGTGTATCATCAATGATATGTGGGACAAAGACTTTGACAGGAAGGTTGAAAGAACCAAGTTACGTCCCTTGGCTAGCGGAGAGTTGTCCCAGTTTCAAGGTTTGGTGTGTCTTGCTGGGATGTTATCAATATCACTGGGAATACTTCTGCAGCTGAACTGGTACAGGTAACTATCATATGATATTTTGCTACATACACTCTACAAGTATATGCAGAGGTCAAAAAAATTTCACTAAGGTTATTTTAACATTGCCATAGAAATACAATTTCTTCATGAATAAAAACAATTGAATAAATCATGTCAACTTGAATTAATTTGTGATGATTGACCTCATCAAAAGCTTGTACAAATAAGTATGTTATAAGTCAGTCTAGTAATTGAAATTAAAGTTGGATTCGCTTGCATATACTCACTACACTAACATCAAAGAACATCCTATAAAGGGTCTCGAGTATGCCAGGGAATCTTACATCTAATTTTCATTAGATTGGTTAAAAGTGTACAATTCTTAATTGTACTCATTCTTGATAAATATTTGTTATAGTGTGATCCTTGGTGCAGCATCCATGGGACTGGTGATAACATATCCCCTAGCAAAGAGATTCACATTCTGGCCACAAGCATTACTAGGCAAGTTTTTTTTTAACCTTGAAAGCTTTTGAAGTGTTTTGAAACTACAAAACATACTTCAGTTATTTGGATTCATTTCATAATCATGTTGTTCCTATTGGTATAATATATGTTCAGGATGAAAACTATCCTCCTTCTCTCTGTTTGATAAATGACACAGACAGTTTAGAATTTTAAGGGTACATGTACATGCCATATGAATATCATATTAATTTTTTACAGAGTTTTAAATTACCGGTATCAAAATATCAGAAAAAAAATCTTTTGCAATTTTTATGATTTTAAAATACATATCAGCAATGTAAATGGGCAAAATTTGAACCAAATAATCTACATGTAAAAGTATTTTATATGGCTCTTAGATGGTCATTGGTGTTCAAAATACACATAGAAAATCCTTTTAAATTTATTAGATGTTCACTTAAGTTTGGTTATAGTGAGGTTCTGAGGACCTGTGGATTTATATTGCTACCTGGTATATCTTTTTGATATATATGCAAAAAGAATTTATAAAAGTATATAAATATGTTGGAATAGCAGTGTTCACTGTTTTTGAGAATTTAAAAAAAAAAGGATCATGTTGATATGAAAGGTGTGCATTCATTTGTAATTTTCATTATTTGTAACCTAAAGGATTGGAATCCCCAAAAACTTCACTTTGCCCAAATTCTATTTTTTTAAAAAAAAATTTTTAAATATTTTTAAATTCTCTGTCTGTGTTCATATAAAGCATTTTTTACCATACATTTGAGACAAATTCACATGTGAACATGATATAAGTTCTGATATGCTATAAGCACAAGAATGATTTTTTTTTGGACATTTTCATTTAAATATTAAAGCATACATTTTATCTAAAATTGTTCATAAACTGAAATGTGAGAATAAGTTTTATTCTTATAACTCAGAATAAAAACAAGAAAAAACTGTATAGGAATGTTATAGATGTTGATACGGTGTTTCTAATTTGACAGGGGTGACCCTGAATTGGGGTGTCCTGATTGCCTGGTCTGGTATACATGGCTGCTTACAGTTACCAGTTATCCCCCTTTACTTGGCCTGCGTTCTTTATACTATCATTTATGATAGCATTTATTCACATCAGGTATCAGTTGCTTCCCTTTTAACACTGAATTAATGCTTCTGCCAGACTTAAAAATGCCAGTAGTGTCAGAATGAGAAAGCAAGTGTTTCTAGATACAATATTTTAATTTTTCAGGTAATTATGTGAATGTATTTGTAAATACATGTACATGCAATGTACAAAATGCACAGCATCCACATGTATGTTGCACCTTAGTTGCAGCATGCATAGAGTTCACTTTCATGATTATTATAATTCCTAGGCATGATAGTTTCCTTCCTTTTAGTATGCATGTGCTCTTCTATTTTTGTATGAAATTTCAGGTAGAAATTATTTCTCTTTGCATGTTTGTCAATTAAAAATTATTATTTTTTCTTCATATCCGCCATATCCATATATTTAAATACATTAAATTTTTGGTTAAATCTTAACAATTAACTTATTTTTTTTGGAAGAGGGTCTGATTTAGATTAAAGTTGTTAAATTGAATAAATGTTGTGAATTAAGTAGATAGGGAAATGGGGGAATGGCATTGAACATGTTGAAAGAGAGGAAAATGTAAAATGGAGTGATCATGTTGACTATCATGACCATACATTAAATTCAGTATTCCCTTTAGTTTTGAAGTAGGCTATCATAGTAAAAGTACATAATGAATGTAGGCAAATATCCACCTGCGTGGCATGTTTATAAGAGTATAGACATAAATTTTATCCTTATCTCATATTCAAGTAAAGATTTTTTAAAGTACAGAATTTAGATGGTTCTTTCTTCATTCATGCATTCCTGCAAAATGTAATTTTCAACCTTTTTAAAACATCAGTATACAACTGAAGCAAACAACATTTGTTTGCTCATTTTTTAAATTTACAGTATTCATCTTTTAATATATCCCATTACTGTAATTTGAATTAATGATCAATATTAATTTTTACAGAGTAATAACAGTAAATCTACAATACTCATGCATACAATGTATGTTTAAAAGTCTGAGCTAGTGAAATTCCTAGTGTATATTCAGGGTATCTTGCTAGAAAAAGTCTGTATGAATGTTCCCATGTCAATACCTATACATGTACCATTTTATATACAAGTCTTGTAAGGTTTAAACTGATGTAAAATATATATATACTTAACCACGTACACCCTATATAACCTGTGGCAGCCAAGTATATCTTGAACATGGCAATCATTTCTCTAACAGGCAGAAAATCTTTCCTATTGCATGGAAACATTTTACTATGAGTTAATGTTTTTTATTAGATGGTTTATAATGGACATTCCTTCTGATTAAAAAAGGACTTTAAATCAGAAGCCTTTCTGCTAAAATTGCAAATTTGTGGAGTTCTTTTGCTAAAATATTAGGCTAAACTAACTAAAGCAGTAAGTATAAAATTTGCTGAGCTTTCAGTCTTTCTGAATAAATAAAACAACTCTCCTGTTCCAGGAAGTTAAACATTTTCAATTAGACATTGTGATATTTTACAAGTATCACACCAGAAACAATTCTCTTGTCCCCAAAAATAAAGTGCCTTGCAACTAAATTGAGTTTACTGCTTTCTTCTCAATGTCTCTAGGCTAAATGGCTATCCTAGGCTAAAAATGACAATGTAGAATTTTCAGCATTTAACTGCTAAGTTCATTTTTTTTAACCTTTGCCTTTGTTTTCCTGTGTCTAGGCCTAACTTTTAACTACGGAGCTCTGCTAGGCTGGGCGGCTGTCACAGGTTCACTAGACCCCCTCTCTGTTCTACCTCTGTATATAAGTGGCTTTTGCTGGACCATGGTTTATGACACCATATATGCCCATCAAGTGAGTGCATGCTGTTCATTGTGTGTGTATGTGTTGAATTACATATACCATTTATAAGGCTTGTTTTTTCCCTCCAAAAAATTATTTTTCTTTTTTGAATTTTCTTTTTTAAGTGAAATGTTACATTTTGATTGTTTATTTGAGTCAATTTTGTATCAAGATTTGTCTGTTGTCTGTTAGGTCAGTTCAATGCATTCAATATTTTTCTTTATACCTAGATTTACTACTCCTTTGTTAAAGTTTCTTTTAAAGCTTTTTTTCTTAAAAAAATTCTTTGAGTGACCACCATGGTTTTAAATACAATTAATTAGAAAAATCAGATGTTAACACAGGCTTCATGAGGTGATTTTCTGAGAAATTTGTTTAAGTAAAGGTTTAAGTTTGTGGAGATTTTGCAAAAGTAGGTCAAACTCCAGAGTGAAGGCCAAGAGGTCAATATTTTGGTATACGAAAGAAAGGTATCTTAAGGAATAAACATTTGAAATATGAAAGCTGTAGCACCAATTATTTAAAGCTATGGGCAAGGTAAATGAAAATTATGTTTTTGCAGACAAACAGAAAAACAGACAAATGCAGGGATAGGCAAAAAAACATAGCCCCAAATTGTCAATAACAGGAGCATAAAAAACTTTGTAGTTCTTGATGTCAGCTTAGCTTAGTCATATTATTACCTCTATTTTATGGCCATTGAAATACATGGACCTTACAGATAAAAGACTTACTATAGGGATGAAAAAACAGAATTGTCGCTGAGACAGATCCTAGACAAAGTCACTTGTTTTAAACACAATTTGCTCAGTCTCAAAGGCCCCTTATTTGTTGTAAAATTCAGAAAACAGTTAAAATTGTGATAGTTTGTAATAAAACTTGAAATGATGCTTGTTTTAAAACCCCACTAATTTTGATTCAAACCTTACACTGAGGCCACAAGAGGGTGCAGAAGTGAGATTTTTCCCAAATTTCCTCAATTTTTATGGAATGCTGTGGATTCATTAATTTTCGTTGGCATCAATTTTCGTGGATTTTGTAAAACAGATGTTTTTGAGGATACATAATTTCATGGACAAAAGCATTGCCTGTACATATGAATAACATATTTCTTAATTCAATGAACATTTAAATTCATAATCTGCTCAACAATGAAATCCTCAAAAATTGGTGCTCAATGAATATTAATGAAACCACAGTATCATCAAATTTTGGATACTTTTCCCTTCGGGAAACATAGAGCACAAGTTTGCCTATCTGAGATTTTTATACACGAGATGCATCTGATTATAGTTTATGAAATATATAAATTTGGTAGATAGACAAGCTTGTGCTCTATGTTTTCCAAAGCAAAATGTACCATAAAATTAAAAAAAATTGCATAAAAATGAGCAGATTTGGAAATTGGCATATTTTCTGATCTTTATGTGACCTCTTAGTATCTCATCTTAGAACCATTAATACTCATTTTGTGGCTTGGCTGAGAAGTTGTTTTTAATTGATAACCTATTGCATCATTGTAAAAGACACCCCAAACCAGGGGCCAAAAAGGGGTTTTACCCTATTTTGTCCTTTAATTGACAAACTGACACAGGTGGGCATGTGAACCATGTGTTCATTGTCAAGTGGTTAAACACCCAATTTTATGTTAACGCCCCCAAAATCTACCTGATTCAAGATCAATAATTTACCGCCTGTCAATCATTAAAAAAACAATAGCTTCTGATTTGATTGACAGGCCAGCTACCCATGCTACCTGATAGTCTGAGTTTGTGTCCTTTGAAAACGATTGCCTGGTCACGCGTCAAACACTTTCATGTAGCCGCCTTGTATACACGGGGGTTAAAAAAGAATCTTGGTAAAATTTTATTTTAAAAACAATTGAGAGTAGATGAATAAAACATGACTCCATAAAATATTTGCTTTTAATCTCAACGGCTATGTTGTATTTTAGGCGATATGTCCTCCAAGATATCTGCTCTGTAGAATTTAAACCAGTCTGTGCACGGTAACACTATTTGCCGATTAAAATTGGATTATGAAAAATAGGAAAAGATATTTAGCACAAACGGCACGGATAAAAAATTCCTTTATCCGATGTTTTATCTACTTATATAAGAATACAATCTATACCATGTTCCGTCGTAAAGTTCTGAAATGTCTGAAACAGCTGTCGAGTTTCGAGATTGTAACTTTTAGTTCGAATTTCCTAACATCTGTCAATACCCAATATTCGAAATTAAAAATGAATATATACAGCCAAAGATCTATTCTTAAAAGTATATAAAAAAAAAATATCTCGCAAACAATAAAAAATTTTAATCACACGTACGAACACCCGGAAATGGTGAATATTTTCGACACTATTGTTGAACAGAACGTAGGCAATATTCCTATCGCTTTACGGTACATTGTCACACGACAGATAGGCCTACCTATGAATGAAATTTTTTTTTTTAATTTTGATATTTACACAAGTTTACCGGTAATTAAAAAAAGATATATTTACTTTGTAGTTTTACTCTGTGTTCTTTTCTTTTTGTCATCTTTTGAAATATAAAAACGACATTTCTTTATAATTTTTTTCTTCATAAGATATCGCTGAAATTATTTATAAATAAATTTTATATTGAAATATTTCAGTTATTTCAAGTAGTTTCACTCAAATTTAGACACGAAACACGGAATGTTGACCCTGATACCAGACACAGACTTCCTGTGTAATGCTACGTGTATGTAGATTTTTGACATCTTGGGTATTGGGGGTCTCCAGGTAAATAACACCACTGTTACTTGGACCACTCCCCCTCCTCAGGTAACCGTACGGTAAAAAAATTGGGTCTTTAAGAAACCCTCTCAGGTTGTGTACATTCCTGTAAATCTTAATTTATCTAATATAGGTTTATTTAACTTAATTTTCTTATATTAAAATGACCATATCTTGTTACTTAATAATGATCTGTATCACATTTATAAAATTTCCATCTTACTGCTTAAGGCCAAAACAAAAAATAGTCTTGTTTCCTGCTACCCGACCTACCCTATTTTTTTGTCCCCGACCCTAAAGTTTTTTTTCAAGTTTTTGAGAAAAAAATGGGAATTTCAGGAATTTCATGTTCAAAAAATGAAGAAAAAAAATAAACAGGTGGAATTTCATGAAACTTTTTGTAAAAATTTGATAATATATAATTTTAAAATATAATGTTGACCTATATGACATGTTTTATTTGGTTTTGTATTAGTTCATATCCAAAAAATACCACTGGAAGAAATAAAAAAAAATAATAAAATAATTTTCCTAATTACCCACCCTATTTTTTTCAGGATGGTAGCAGGAAACAAGACTATTATTTTTTTTGCCTAAATATTCATAACCTGCTTATAAAATATGATTTGCCTTGTGTATCATTTCACCCATTATTTATGCCTGCAACTGGTTTAATAATTCAAGACACGTGTAAATGAATTATAAGTTATCAAATTACTTATTTTTTCAAAATTAAATTTTAAATGTTAAAAAAATTCAAAGATCATTGAACTAGTAAATGTATTGATCAACAAAGCTTTGTGTGTCTGTATTATTACATGTATAATTATTAAAACTTTACAATTGCTTGATTTATTTTGACTCAGGATAAATACGACGACATGTTAATCGGGGTGAAGTCTACAGCCCTGAAGTTTGGGGATCAGACCAAGACGTGGTTGACAGGGTTTGGGACCGGTATGGTGTCCTTACTGGTCCTGACGGGGAAGATGTGTGACCAGACCTGGCCGTATTATACAGCCGTGTCACTGACAGCAGCTCATATTGCCCATCAGGTACGACCCTGTAGTTCATTCACATTTTCAAAATGAAACATCATGATGACTGAAGATCAGGGTCTACAATGATCTGTACATGTACTAACATGGTAATTACTGTAAGAACTACGAACTCTAACTCTTGATTCCCGCCTACATTTTGCACCCATTAAATTCAATATTAATGGGAATTTGGCCATTAAATCTTTGTTTAATACAAAGAACACTTCTATGGTAATTGATTAATCATTTTAATTCCAGCGCTAGATAGTTAATTATAATTAATTTCAGCTCTTGAAAAAAGTGGGGTAGACGATATTTTCTAGTGAAATCGAACTTTCAAGAATCACCATATTATGAAATAGTCTTAAATATGATAATTTAAATGTATCTCATATCTTTTCTTATGTTTTACGCAAATAAATAAAACATATATAAATTAATAAAATACAATTCTTTAGTTGTAAATTGCTTTACAATTGGTGAAAAGTAAGCATTTGTTTCGTTTTTTGTCTATAAACATATGTTCCCCCCCGTGAAACACAAAAAACTTTGGCGTAAATTTGTAAAATGACAGTCCATATTACCTGTATAAAGGAATATTTGTTTCACGCGGGGGGGGGGGGGGGGGGGGGGGATTCTTCATATAAATATATCTATAAAATTTTTGAAAATCATTCGAATATGTTAACTTTTGAGAATTGACTTATAGAGGTAGGCGGGAGAACAATACTATCGTTCGTAAAAATATGTTCCTTAACTATATATGTATATGTATACACATGAAAATTGGTATTTTGGCTATGTGTATAACAAGTAGATACATGTATCAAAATGTTGACTTCAAGGGTAGGATATACAAGTTCACACAGAAAAGCACAATTCATACAAAAAGGACGAACAGTACAATATCAATGGCTATTTTGTAATCAAAATAATCTGTTTTTCAGTTGTATACTGTAGACTTGGAAAATCCTGATGACTGCGCAAAAAAATTCCGCTCCAACACTCAACTTGGTTGTGTGATGTTCCTTGGAATTGTTTTTGGAACTCTTCTAAAGAAGAAGGAAAATAACTCAAAGCAGAAACAGAAAGACTATTAAGCATCATTATTAAAAGTCGAATCATAAAGAAATAATTGATACATTTAAGCATATATTGTTTGGAGGTATTAAGAATTTTTTATTTGTTTAAAATAAAAGAAAATATTTAGTAATTTTTGCTCAAAATACTTTTTTAATCTAATATATTTATGCATTTAAATAATACATTCAGTATGATTGAAGCTTCTTTTTACAATTTTTTATGAAGCATTTATTTGATTTTTAATCTTAATCATGATCCATTTTTTTTAAATACTGATAATAAACCCTGCATGATTTTTTTCACATTGTCAATTAAAATTTTATCAAATAACAATCAAGGTGCCATATTCTATTGAGTATTACATTGTGTTTCTTTTTAAAAATAAATTATTATTTCATTTATAATAGACCATGTTGGATGCCAACTATCACTAACTGAATTTGAGATATACAATGTCAAGCAACAACAGTTTAACTATGTTCTAAAGTAATTCTTATTTATGATTAATGACAGTGCTATTTTTTGATCAATGAATAAAGCATTTTCAGTAATATTAAAGGTACTTGGACACAGATTTGAAGTTATTATTATAACAAAGGTTTGGAGCTCTAAATCTGTCTTGTATCTGGACAACTGGTGTTCAAATTGTTGATGATCATTAGAAAGACGTTAGTTAAATATTTGTATAGATGGAAAAATAAAATTTGAAATTTTTGCTGAAACTGTGTCCATGCCCCTTTCATAGGCCAGAATGCGGTAAAATTATTATTTAAATTTACTACATGGTTTTAATTTGTAGTCATTGATAGTTTCAAGGCATTTGCCCAGTTACCCAAGCATTAGAAAATGAAAAGAAGGTGGTTAACGCGACAAAGGGAAAATTGTGATGATTAATGAGGTTACTATGTACGATGCATTGAAGAAAAGTTCAATTAAATGTAAATTTAGTAGTGAAAGTGTAGTATCTACAAAGGACAAGGTAAGGTAAGACCCCTATTTGGCCCCCGATTCTGGGTATCTTTCAGAAGGATCCAACAGTTTATCCATAAAAACCTGTTGGCACCCCTGCCACAAAATGAGTATTCGTTCTGAGATTTAGCATATACAGAGGTCAGGAAATAGGTCAATTTTCAAATTTGCTCATTTACTGCAAATTTTCTTCGATTTTACAGCAGATCTTGCTTCGGAAAACATAGAGCACAAGCTTGCCTATCTGCCAAATTAAGATATTTTATACACTATTATCAGATGCAGTTTATGTGTAAAAATCTTAGATAGGCAAGCTTGTGCTCTGTTTTTCAAAGAGAAAAGTATCTAAAATATCCACCAAAATTGAGGAATACTGGAATATGTCCTACTTCTGCACCCTCTAGTGGCTTCCATGTAAGCTTTGAATCTAAATTAGTGCTTGTTTCGAAGTAAGCATCAATTTAACTTTTTTTTTATAAACTATCACAATTTTACCAGTGTTCTGATTTTTAAAAAAATTGTCCATACCCTATCTATTTAAAATACATACAAATTTCACTTAATCTTTAGGACATACAAATGGCACGAGTAATATTTGTGCAGAATCTTTGAAATCGAGACATTTGAAAAATAAGACATAAGACAATAGCAAATGGCGCTATTACAATGCAGATACGAAATTGCCTGTTGTTAATAAGAGTGCTAAATAAATGCAAATCCTAAATAAAAGAATGGTACATGTAGTCGCAGTTCGACCAATATGTTACCACTTTTGGGTCATTAGACATTCCCAAGATAATGACAGTTTTGGGTGATTAGTCACCACAATAGACTATACGTTCCTCAACAGACTGAAGAGTACTGACAAATGGCGGGAAGATAGTTTATGGTGACCAGAGGTCTTACCAGGTAATTTGGGCCATCTTTTCATGGTAGCAGAGCGTGTAAACAGAGAAAAACTATGGCTAGTAGCTTCAAGAACCCTCCAGCATTTGATCAAAAGTCCATGACCTATGAAACATGGAAAAACGAAGTTGCAGTGTGGCAACTGGTAACAGAAAAGAAGACGTATGAAGAAACTAATGGCACAATTAGATAAAGTTTTTCTTCGAGATGATAAAGATAAGGCATATGAGGCCTATAAAAACTTTGATGTGTTTAAGAAAACAGAAAATATGAAAATATCTGACTACATTGTTGAGTTTGATAAACGATACAACAAGGCCAAGAAATTTGACATGGCACTCCCTGAGGCAGTTCTTGCTTTTAAAATCTTGGACAATGCAGGACTTTCCGTACAAGAAAAACAGTTAGCATTAACTGCATGCACAAACCTCAAGTATAAAGCTATGAAGTCAGCATTACAAAGGATTTTTGGTGAAAGTGTGAGTTCCAGTTCAGATGTGAAAACTGATAACCCAGTCATTACGATCAAACAAGAGCCTGTTTTTTCACACAACAGAAGAAACCAAACAGGAAGCAGAAAGGGACAAATCCCCTAAACAAGTTTGGTAAAAGAACAAAGTGTGCAATATGCCAGAGTGTGTTTCACTGGGCAAAAGACTGTCCAGAGAAGAGAGCTTCAGTACAGTTGGCAGAATGTGACTCGGACACGGTTGAGGATTGCAATGTTACTTTACTTACGAAAGATCAACCAACCATGAATGAGATTTTCATCTTAGAGACTTTAGGAGCGGCAGTCATTGATACGGCTTGCACCCGTACAGTATGTGGAGAGAAATGGTTTGATTTGTTCTGTAAGGAAACACATGAGAAAATACCAACAGTCACAAGTCGTCGTGCATTCAAGTTTGGAGATGGAAAAATAATCTACTCGTTCCAACGTGCCACAATACGACCGTTATTGGATAAACAAAATGCAACATTGAAACAGAAGTTGTAAAAGCTGACATTCCTCTTTTATTAAGTAAATCGTCACTGAAAAAGGCAGAAACGGTTCTGGACTTAAAAAATGACAGTACAAGAATGTTTAATCAACCAGTGAGCCTGGAATTCACCACAAGTGGACATTACTGTGTAAGAATTCTGAAAGATTCGTCTACAAACGAGGACAGCTTATTGAAAGAGGAAATTCTAGAGGTCACGGAAAACATGAACAAAGCTGAAAAGAAAATAGTAGTGATGAAGCTCCACAAACAGTTTGGACATGCAACGCAAGAAAGACTGGCTCAGTTATTGAAAAGTGCTGGGACAACGGACAAAGAAACGATGGAGTTATTACGGTCTGTATGTGAAAGTTGTGAAACTTGCGTTAAGTACAAAAGACCAGTAGCGAGACCTGTTGTAGGATTGCCGTTAGCAACAGACTTCAATGAGACTGTAGCTGTGGACCTTCACGAATTGGAACCAGGACTGTGGTACTTGCATGTCATCGATGAATTCACTCGTTTTAGTGCCGGGAGCATCATGAAATCCAAAAAGTCATCTGAATTTGTGAAAAAATTCTTTGAGTGTTGGTTATCAAAAGTGAAGACGACGGCTGCTTACAGTCCATGGAATAATGGTTTATTGGAGCGTCATAATAGAACTCTGACTGAAATTCTCCTGAAATTAAGGGCTAAGAATGACTGTGAATGGGAGACAGCATTAAATTGGGCACTTATGGCTAAAAATGCTCTACATAATGTGCATGGGTTTAGCCCGTATCAACTGGTATATGGACGTAACCCCAATCTTCCTAGTGTGCTAATCGACAGACCGCCAGCTCTGGAAGGTACTACTATGAGTACAGTGGTTGGGAAACACATCGAGGCACTACACTCCTCTAGAACAGCTTTCACAAAAAGCGAGTGTTCTGAGAGAATCAGAAGAGCATTGAGGAAACAAACACGATCAAGTGGTGATCAGTACCAGAATGGAGATCAGGTTTACTACAAACGTCCAGATAGTGAAAAGTGGAAAGGCCCTGGTGTAGTTATAGGGCAAGACGGTTCAGTTATTTTTGTAAGACATGGTGGAATTTGTGTCCGTGTACACCAGTGTAGAATAAGAAGAACAAACACAGTCATGGAAGACGCTGCAGATGAGCCCAAAGGAGACAAAGTGATAACACAACAGCAAGAAAGAGGTAATTGCATAGAAGAAGACAGTGACTCTGAAGTGGAACAGGATAACTTGAATGAACAGATTGGTGGAGTGGACAGTGAACATAATGAGGGCAATAACCAACAATTAGAGTTGACTAAAGGACAAGTTATCAAGTATTAAGATTTACAGAATGGGGAAAGCTGTGTTGCAAAAGTCATTGGACGAGCTGGTAAAGCAACGGGAAACAACAAACATTGGTACAACCTGCATTATTTGGAGCCAGAGTCTCACAAAGGAGCCGAAATTTCAGTTGATATGGAAAAAGTCCAGGATTTAGAGATTTGTGATAGTGAGGATGTGATGGTCTTGACTGATGTGTGTTTTGAACAAGCTAAACAAAAGGAACTTTTGTCTTGGAAAAACAACAATGTGTATGTTGAGGAGAAGGACATTGGCCAAAAATGTATTTCGACAAGGTGGATTTGCAGCCTCAAAGACACAGATGAAGGAATAAAACACAAAGCCAGACTTGTAGCTCGGGGATTTGAAGAAGTAGACAGAGAAGACATTCCAAAAGACTCGCCAACTTGTGGTTCAGATTCTGTCAGACTTGTCTTAACTGAATTGGCTCAAAGAAACTGGAGCGTTCACACTATGGACATTAAGACAGCATTTCATCAAGGTTCAGAAATTGGACGCAAGATTTACGTTAAACCGCCACCAGAAGCTGGTTGTAAAGGTGTAGTATGGCAACTGCGTAAATGTGTGTATGGGCTGTCTGATGCTTCGCTGAGCTGGTACAACAGGGTCAAAGAAGTTCTTATCGGCAGTGGTGCAGAGGTTTCAAAATCGGATCCAGCAGTTTTCTTTTGGAAGAATGGTGACCAAAGAGTAGATGGAATCCTTGCTTGTCATGTAGATGACTTCTTATGGGGAGGATCAGCTGAATTTGAGAACAAGGTGATCAAGGAAATAAGAAAAACTTTTCTTGTTGGAAAGGAAGATGGTGATGAAAACAGGTCATTTTCATATGTAGGAATTGAATTGTCCAAACATGAGAGAGGCATTGAACTTAACCAGTATAGCTATCAGAAGAACATTCATTTCATCCCTATTGATAAGAG